GTTCGGCTTCTTGATCGATTTCAATTGCAGTGTCTGCACAAAACACCCCAACACTTAAGTCCTTCAAAGGGTAAAAACTGTTGGAATCAGTTTCATGCCACTTAGAAAGAATGGCTGAAACTCGCACAGCTGACAAACGGAGTTCGAAGTCGGGGATGTGCGAAATTCTGCTCTTGGGACAGCCTTCAGGTGAAAATGAAGCACAAAACTGAGGAGACTGACCAGTTTCTAGGGTCCTTGGTGAGACTGGGCGAAGAGAGGCCGGATGCAGGGTGTGTTCTCTAGGCCACACCTGTTCCTTTTTGTCAGTGGCCTGATGTTTGCTGACGCTTGATCCAAGGGGCGATACGGCGGGAAGTTGAGGTGCGCTGTAATGCGCGCCTGCGCTCTGGCGTGCGCGTGTGTGGTTGTCCGTGTTCTGTCATTATATACGTCGTTACAATGAGTGGAATGTGAAAACAATAGTGGGAAACCACATGGCGTCCTTTAAAAGTTCACGGAACCGGAGTCGACACATTGTTGACAAGTTTTTCATCAATGTCGTATTCATGTCACGATGTTGATGCGTGATTGTGAGACAGACAAAACAAGATGAGGATAGTAGGTGCATGTATGAAATTGATTGGAGAAGTAATTAAACGGAAGGGTAGCCGTTACAAACTAACGAAGGCCAACGAGTACTTTTCCTATGTATTTTGACTACTCACTAGTAGCGTAATTAAGCTTGCTCACCATAGCACCGTCCTGTTCTCGACAGGTGCACTCGTTTGCGTGGTTTCTCACAGGAGACTCCCGTTCTGTCCTCTCTTTCTAATCTACCTTTTGGTTAGAGTCTTTACAGCCTTTTGATGACAAAATTCTTCGAAGACCTTGAGCGGAATTCCTTGAGTTTTGGTATAGCAGTGAATAGTGCCCTCACGATGGGTGAATGACTACGTAGAGTCAGTTACTGGTAAGTGAATTGAGCGAAGAACTTAAGACTTCGTAAGTCTCCAATCCTAAGGAACGAACGTGTGCAGGCGAAAGTGTTGGACTACCTGTTGCATTCCGAACTTGCACTCCACATAAGCTTACTGAAGAGGTCAGATCACCCAAAAGTGTGCTGCGGTCTAACAGCAATCCAAACACGTTTCAGTGAGAGATTTCAGAACTAATGACACTACCAGAATGACTTTGGTACCTACAGGTTCTCCATATTGGTGGTCATAATTTTATCCTTGAACAGATTTTGAAGGTGATCGTACTACAAGGATGTAGTGCAAGATGTAGTCATAAAAGAGGGCTTTTCCAGAGTAGACAAACAGAAGTCTATCGACAGTTTTATTGACCAGCTATTATGTTTTTTAACTTAGTGGCATTCGGTTAAAGTCAGCTGACCCTCAGAGGGCCGATACCAAAGTGTCGGTCGGACAAGACAAAAAGCTTAAGTTTGTTCTTCATGTGCTCTCTAGCTACGGAAACTCAAAAACTTCTGCACTCCGAGAACAACTCGGGTACCCACCATCAGATTCGTACAATCCGGCTCATCTGCGCAATATTCTTGATAAAGTCCTGTACAAATCTCTGTTCCAAAAAATTTGACACCATAATTCTAAGTATGCGACGTACATGTGTACAACACAACTTTCCTTGTGGGTGTGAAATATTTCCATCTGCGATTAACACAAAATGATTTCACGATTCACATGACGGAAAGCTGATAAAATGCGTCAACTTCAAACTCCCACGTCGCCTTTTTGAATTAGACGATGGTCCAGGAAACTCCAGGTTGCGGATGCAGTTGCAACGTCGACTGTGTAACGTTTGCGCCCAAAAATGTTTGATGACAGGCTTTGATCTCTGAAAAGTGCTCCTGTTCAAATTCACTGCTGTTGTGATAGTACTGGTGGAAAACATGTGGTTCAGCCCGGGCTCGAACCGGGGACCTTCCGCGTGTGAGGCGGACGTGATAACCACTACACCACTGAACCGCGGCTGACTGTGCAAAGAAATAAAATGCAAAATCAATCGCGATCGATGGAAAGCGATCATCAGCTGCAAAACGTTTGGGTTCGATTGGGTTCCGTTTCACAGAGGCTTGATAAATCCACGGCAAGAAAGCGATTATCTAATGAGTGAATACACTACATACTACCTTGCTCGGGATGTAAACAATATCTTTGCTCCTTCTTCAACTATCCGTAAAAATAAGCAGACCTTCAACGGCTTCACTGACTGTCGCTGAGCGACAAACAGCACGTTCTTAAGGGGATTCCGGAACCAGTAGCATGTTCAATGTGATGAAAACTACTTGGTCAAAAATTATACTGAGAAACTTCCTGGCTAATCCTTATGGATAAGATATCATGAAAACTGGGTATGTAGGGGATGTTTCCAGATGTCTGTCGTCGGACTGGTGCAATGCGAGACTCATAGAAATTTTGAAACGCGTGGATCAATTCCATCAGTCCCCCGTAGTATCCGGCACACTGTAACGCTGGAGTTAGGACCCCACAGTACTGGTCTGACCAATCCTTACCGGGTTTATCCACCTTCTCAAGTCTCCAACCGAAATGTGATGACACTTGTTGAGGTCGGTGGCATTAGTCGTTAACGTACTCTACCCGCACAAGCTAGGTCGGTGTTGACTGATCAATACGGTCCCCTTGAAAGCTAACAATTTCTAGTCAACATTGCACAGTAAAATTCTGAAAACTGTACTGGATTCAACTATGTTCCTGGTGTAAAGTGTGCTTGGCGATCGACGTGCCAGCATGCGGGCCATCGGTTCATAGATTGGTCGCCTGATTCATATAATGGGGTAACTGTCCTAAGTCGCGTATGTACGAGATCCTATCTGTTCCGCCAACTGTAATTTCACCACATGTGAACTGGTATCGTGAGGCAGAGAGATTGAGTACAGTACGCGGCGCATATCAGTGATGGACTTGCCTCAACACGGCTGGTTGAGCGGCTGGGTACGTACAGCCGATTATAGCACGCCAATTCTCCGTACGGCTGTGGTTAAGTGATTTCCCCTGAACTTCGGTATGATAAAACCCCTTTCCTTTTTACTAGGTAGTCGGGTTCCCGCTTGGGCCACGGAGGCTGATAAATTTCTCCGGGTATTATTTAAGGACTCCTCTTCATTCTGAAGAGAGCCAGGAGTACAGCTATGTCTGGTGCGGTCAAACAAAGTGCGTACCTTGGAGCGTAACCATAATCAACCGTGTTTGGCAGCATTTCGCATGTTTCAGAAACTAGTTTCAGGTAGGCTGTTTCAGTCGTGCTCTCCGCGGTGTGCTCACAGTGTTGTTGTTGTTGTTGTTGTTGTTGTTGTTGTTGTTGTTAAAACGTCTTCCAAGCAGAGAAATTATTATATGAGCTTATGTGAGCTAAGTTAGATAGTTAGTTAGTTAGTTAAATACTGTTCCTAGGGGTGACAGATCTCGATCTCAAGATGACGCAGTTTGGTTGAAAACGAGTAGGAGTTACAGACCGTACTGACCAGGACATTAAATAAATATCATTAGGTAAAGATGACTCTGGAGAGAACCCACCAACAGGGATTGAAACAAACACGGTTACCGACGGTCACCATTCGTGTCCTACCTTGACAAACACAGCCGCACTACAGTGGCTTTTGCACATCGCTGTCATAACGAAGTATTGCTCGCGATTTCTGAAACGACGAATTATTGGGGGGTTGATGTCTTTTTTCATGTATTTGGAAAAAATATATGTTTCTCAGTTTGGTTCGTGCCTCTTGACGAGATGTTGTCCCGTATAGTAATACTGTACAATGAAAATGAATTACAAATTACAGATTTTTTTCTTGCGTAAACTTAGTAATCCCACTTTATAGGATCGGTGAGTAAGCTTGCGAAATCGTGTGCCATGGGGTTATTCACAGTGTCGGAATACTTCCTCACCTAATTGGATCAGGATATCTGTTCTGAACCAGTCTTTGTCAAGAACCCATCACGTGATCCCAGTCCAGTTATTCAAGACATCAAAAATAGGACTGGTCAACCTTTTAAGACGTTTGGCAAGGAATTTTCTAGAATGATATTCAAAGTCGAGATATCGGTAGGGTACATGAAAGCCTTATAAATCTATTCCACTTCTGTCAAATGTTCTTACTTTTTACGAAGGCTCACATTTCGTATTGAGAAGGAGAATGGTGAGGCCTTCGTAACCTGCGTAAATTTCTTTATTTTTGAGGAGAAACAATAAACTGCAGTTAAGGCGGTTGACATGACTAGACAGCACAGAGTTTGTGTAAGCCGACTCTGGACAAGTATCAAGAACAAGCAACGGTTCCGTGAAATTCACTGGTTGTTATTCTTTATGGATTTGGCATTATTTTCAGATATCCTTCCGCTCCGAATTCCCAAGGACGAAATTTCCTGCTTCCCCTATTGTTTGTAAGTAAGTTTAACCGGATTAGGGTGGCGGTTTTAGGCTCGATAATTCCTGGTTAGAAACAAGGATTATACGTGTTAGTTGGAGTGTGGTTGTGCGGTATAGCTTGCTGTGATGCTGGACAGTTTGACTGACTGGTGTGCTAATGAATGCCCGTTCTACCAGACACCAGATAGAAAGAAACAAGAACCCGTTGTATGAACAAGTAATGACACGGTGCACCTCAGGTGAGCAAAACAGCATGACGATTGTGGTGTTAACTAGACAAGGTCATCAGCCGACGGCTGGTACTCGATGGCCGACAGATATCAACACTGATATACGAGGAGTGCGCCCGGTCGAATAATACAGTATGGGTGGAGAGAATAGTCTAACTCAACTCCTGGCCTTGGGATTTTGCCACGTCCTTACCTTCGAACATTCGTAATTCGAAGCCTAGGTCTTCAGTTTGTCAGCCTTCTTTGGCAGAAGCACCGATTAGATGTTTGGCGACACCATCTTGGGCGATTGCCACACCACCCAACAGCTTGTTAAGCTCCTCATCGTTGCGGATGACCAGCTGTAAGTAACGCGGGATGATGCGGGTCTTCCTGTTGTCACGAGCCCACCAATTCCAAAAACTCAACAGCAAGGTATTCCAGAACTGCAGCCAAGTACACTGAGGTCCCAACGCCAACGCGTTCAACATAGTTGCCCTTGACTGCAGCCAAGTACACTGGGGTGCCAACGTCAACGCGTTCAACATAGTTGCCCTTACGCAGCAGACGATGTACACGGCCAACGGGGAATTGGTAATCTACATGTGACGGCCTGGTCTTCGCCTTGACCCAAATCTCACCGCCTTTGCCGCGACCATTCATGGTTTTCAGAGGCGTTAAAGGAGAGGCAACGTGGAATTCCGGGCAGTTCGCTCAGTGCAAGCCATCTCGAGATTTTCACACCAAAACAAAAACGCACATCGGCTTCAGTATCTAGTTTTCCATCTAATGCGCCCGACTGACTCAGCAAGCAGAGAAGAGGCAGTGTGGTTTCTGCCTTAAAAACTTCAGATTACTGGCAACTATGAGCGCCATGAGGGATTTCAGCGGGAGCAAATCGTTATTGAACATGTTACATCACCAGAAATATCACTTACTATATCTCTCAAAAGTAAAGTGCTCTTTCTCCTATGCCCAGTGTGAACGGCCACATGGCTTTATTGGGGATAGTAAGGTTACAGACAGAACTTTTGATTGGGAAGGGTACCCTGTGTTCTGTTTACTCTGTGTGTATGGGGTATACGAGTATAATGATATTCAATGCATTGCCTACATATGCCTATTAAGAAATGTCTAGCCCGAGAGTTAGCTAAAATAATGAAAAATACAATGGAGTACTGTGGCGGCGCACTAGCGCGAAGCTGTAGAATGAGCCTGATAAACACGATCTTTCCTTTGTAGCTTTTGCAAACACCGACGACAGCTGATTGGCAACTAATACGTATGGCACAGATTTGGAAATCTTATTACTGGTCAACCGACTGCCTGTTTAACACAAATCTGAGGATGCACTTCAATACGAATCTCAAGGATTCCTCAACGACTATGTACCCATTTGTCTGTGAATGTCCCGTTATATGGGTTGAACGACTTTGAGATTAGTTCAGTGAATCGGGGGACATTTGTAGATACACCGAAATATTGGGGCAGCTAAGTACTGACCGATACAGACCACCACATCACTCCGACCGAACCACTTGACATAGTTCTTTGAGCAGCACGAAAGGACTATTCTTTAACAAACGCACAAAACAGTTTTGCGGTCTTCAGGTGGGCAGGTAACCCCGGCTTTTCAACAAAAGCCATACCAAGGCTATAATATCGCCCTGGCCTACCAGGTCACCCGAAACCAGCATGTAACGTATATTTCAATAAGACTAACAAAGCAACAGTTCATGCTATATTTCAACCTACTTCTCTATCATACTCCCCTACTTGCCCGCGTAGAATGAATGCAAAAAAAACTGGTCGCAAACCTTTGCGCTCTTAATAAAAGTTGGATCATTAAAAATGCTTACAAGTGCTTGCAAAACGGTGAAAAATTTCTGTTCACTTGTCACATGGATGAATCAGACTGCGACTCTAAAACTGACTTTAGTGGATTTTTCTTGTGTTTTGTATTATTATTTCATACACTGCCAGATCGCATACCAGACAATTTCGTTGCCTGTACAATACTATAATGTGATCATCATACTTCACTGAAAGAAAATCCTACGTATCGTCATATTGTGCTAATGAATCCCTAAAAAACGTATGCATGCCAAATCAGATGACTAAACGGTTGATCTAGGGAAAGCAAACTGGTTCATTTCGTTTTCTTGGCTGCTAGCTATGAACCTAGTAGATAAGAGAGATGCTAAACTGCAATTAACCGAATAACTTTCAAGCCCGAACCGTAGGCTTTCATTATTGTTGTCCTTGTTCACCCATAACATCACCAGACCTAACTCAGCGTAGGTTACCTGGTTGGTTCGATCATTTGCATCTTTCGTAGTTGGCGAGAACAAACCCACTCTCTGACCGAATGGTCACACACCGGTGTTTCCTAAGTTGCTAGAAACCACAGATCACCATGGCTTTGCCCGGTCACTATGGTATACAAATCGGTCGATGTTCCAAGGACTCAGTTCGGTCCATGTTAGTTCGCATTGCACTTTGTCAGCTAATGTGATGCCAGTTAGAAAGCAATCACTCAGTTGGATTCTTATGGGTTTTGTCATCTTCATTACAACAGATTATGTAAAAAGTAAGTGTTTTGTAACAGTAATCATTATTCAAAAGCTTAAATTTATCTGTTTTGGTTTTGAGCCTCCTCCATCCATTTACTATGCTGTTCGATGTTGGTATTCAATAGTAGTATATATAGGTCGGGTCGAGGGATGGTCATTTAAATCGCTATAAATGTTTCGTATACTGTATTATTATCTTTCGGCAATAGTGGTAAAAAGCTAGACACTCTAGCACACTGACTTTTTCTGTCAGTAGGGGAAAAATGAGTGTGCCCAATATTCCCACTCCCAACTACTCAGAAAGAGGTGTGATTTCGGCCTTGAAAAAGTTTTGAAAATAAGAGCGAAAGTAATCTACTTGGGTTTAAGGCTTATCGGAGCTCGATTGTGTAGGATTCCATTTTGTTTGCCATGACTGCTTATAAGAATCCGAAGCACTCCCTGGGTATAATCTGATAAATGGACCTGAATAATGCCGGTTGTTAGTGAACGCGCTTCAGAAACGGACTCCGTCTCGAGGAGTTCGTTACACACCCGACCAGTGTGTAACCAACAGCAAATACACTTCCGGTATTCTTGTCGATTTTTCTCATTCCATCGTCTAACCCACTAGAATTGGATGAATTTCTTCCCGGGTATTTGGTTTTTCTTTGAAAGCTACTCCCTGAATTGTCTTTCTCAAAATCACCGTGAGATTGCATGTCACCCATTAAAAAGTGGCGATCGTTTTTAATACAGCACACAAAATATGCTTGGTTCAGGTGGAACATAAGGTTGACGGGACCTCGGGGACTGGGCTTACCTGAAGAGTCTCGGGAAGGGCGATACCGGTCGTGGGCTGTCAACGAATTTTCAGCAACCTTACGAGTGATGCATTACGAATGTGCTTGTAATCTTGAAATAGTTGTCATTAAAAGTAAAGGACTTCATCTCATTATTGAGGAGATGAAGCTGCACTTCTTTAAGACCGGGATGTATTCCTGGTAGCACTTCAAGCAGTCCTAACAGTTTTGCTTGCCAATGACTTTCCTGGTGTCATACCTAACAGGTAAACTTAAGTTAGTGTAGTTCGTGTTCCACGTTTGTCAACATTTGCACAGACTTCCGTGAGTTGAACACATTTCGCATCATGTAGCCAATTTATTAACTTGATTTTACAATAGTTCTTTCAAAAAATGTATCATGGAGATTGTCACGTAAATGACTAGGTCATTGGTTACGGGATTCGCCGTTCTTTTTGTTACAAAGAATGGAATCTCATACCTTTGGAAATGAGGCACCCAAATACTTTGAAATCCCAAAATATTTTGAAATCTAACCGAAAGGTGGAAAGTTCCTACTTGACTGAGTTAGTATCGCACAGTTTCACGGAAAACGAAGCTTTTACAAACAGCCACGGCTCTTTTCGTGAACTTGCAAAAAGCACAAACGGGAAGTCGCATAATTGTATTCAGTTATTACCGTTTCGCCAAGGAAGGAAAAAATTTCACCATCTAACATTTATTACGTACAATGATCCAATATGGAGTGTGTTCTATAATTTCGTGCTGATGGTAGGTTCCACCAGTTCGACTAGCTTAATATCTGGAAACAGAAAAAAGCACCGATTAGCGGAGTTTGACTATTACTCAAGCATGTGCATTCACTCGAATGACTCGTGCTTCGTCCGCTGGTTTCGCTCGTTCGCTCGCTTCCGCTTGATTAAAAATCACTAACTCAACGTAACTGTGAGTGTGAGCGGCCCGCTTTTGTAAGCTGGCTTCCGCTGCCCCAGGATAAGATGCTTGTTTGGTGGTGAGGTAGATAGAGGTTATGAATATGGCTGACACTGACGGCGCACTCAATACATACTGGGCTACCTAAAATAGTCGGAACACCTCATATGCACTGTTTGCGACGAACCATTTCTACCCGGATGATAGTGTATTAAGGACAATTCATATTATGGAGAAATTTCCAAAAAAGGAAGCGCCTCCTTTCCTGGGTTACGTTCTACCCGGGTATTATTTTCAGCAATCTCAAAAGCTCCGACTGGGTATCAGCTTCTGGGTAACAGCCATGAGTAAGAAAGCGTTGTTGTACAATGTTCCCCTCCTCAAGAAACACCCCCGAGGGAACTCTCTTTTCAATGAGGTTGCATACTAATCGATGATCCGGACTGCTATTGTTTGCATCACATTTTTTTATAAAACGTTAGTGAATTATGGGACTATGCTTCGTCACTGACTGTGACATGGGCGTGTATGCAGTTACACTGATGGTCAGCAGCTCTTGTAAGGTTTATTCAAATGAATCCGAAAGTTTTCGTAACTCTCAGCTCAATCCAAGAATTATGGCGGAGAATGACGATCTATTACGAATGCCAATTTCAATACGGCAATGAGAACATTCATGAGCAACTCGGAAAAATTCGACTTAGCTTTTGCTGCTTTATTTTGCTTTCTAGCTTCGTCGACGTGTATTGTAGATATGACCTGGTTTGGCAGACTGCGCTTTGTGCGTATCGCGGGCTGAAAGTTGACAAATTCAGTCAAGAAATCACTCCTCATATGGAGAGGTGGTTTGTCTACAATACTCACGAGACCAACTGCGAAACGTAAGCGCTGTTCCTTAGAGAGACAGTGTTATACCAAAGAATTAACAGCAATGCAGAAGTTCCACCTTCGTGAGAACCTCCTAAGATGAGATCCATTCACTGAAGAAACAATGTTGGAGGCACAAGATTGTTCCGCTGCACACTTCGCTCAGGAAATGTTCACCGGAATCAAAAGGGGGCGATTCGTGTTCCCTAAACTGGTTTATTTGTGCTCCAATGAGGGAAACCCCGCTGTGTCGGTCCAGATATATCACTTACCATCACTCTAAATTACTTTTCATAAACACAAGTGATACAGCCAGATGACGGATCTGTTGACTATTTCGGAGGTTCAGTGCGTTGTTCTAATTTGTCAGAACCAGGAATACGCACGTTTAGTGGATATCCGGGGTGCTTACTTCACACAAAACAAAACTCCATTCTCATTCCCGCTGAAGTTGATGAGGTAAACTGGGGTACGGAAAGAACTCTTTTACCTCCGTTCAGAAACTACACCACAAGACCCTGATGGATCCTCCCCTCAGACGATGACGGAGAATTCTAGGACCTTTGAAAATTGACCAGTTATAACCAGACATCACCGAAAAGAGGCCACTCCTTTTGACATCGTATCTAGTGATTTTCAGTGAAAAATTGCTTCGCCTGACACAGTTGAGGTCGAAATGCGGCTGAATAAAATATGTTTCTATAACTCCTAAATGGAAAACAGAGCGTCTAAGCTCAGATAAAAAACAATTCTAATGTATCTATTCATCCTTTACCTCAGTTTGGCTGCTTCATTAATCATCTGGCAGGTTAGGGGCCAGAGAGAAACCGGTTCTTCCTACCATTTTTCAATCGGAAACAAATAGATGGCCATATTTTTCTAGTTTTTGGTAAGCCACTGGAGAAAAACTGAATCTGTCAAACGTCATAAGACACGGCGCCCAACGTTCTGCGTTACGTGGCAGTAGAACGGTGAAATCACAGCCGAAATTCCAAGTTAATATGTCTCACCTCTTCCGGTTCTATATATATATATATGCTATGCTGTCTGTTCTGCCAATCAAGCTCTTAGCTATGGCGCTGCGGCGCTTTTGCATAAAATTGTCGTCATTCCGTGCAACTCCCTGTCTGTCGATGACATATGGTCGTCTCCGAAACATGTCCCGTGTCAAATTGCTCTTGTTACTGTCACAGTCCATATTACCTGATGTTTTCACTCACAGGTGGATTCTTATTTCGTCCGGTAAACCAAAAGGTGGCTCCCGGAACATTTTTTCATCAGGCGTGTGCCACGTTCAGTGAGCCTTTATTTGCTGAATGGCATCATAATCAGGTTGGTTTTGTGTCCCGAAACTAGTTGTGTTTACTTGTTCATCTGTTTCACCGATTATTGCCTGTCTATCTATCACAGTCAAACTGGGAGTGTGACCATTGTCGTCTTATTGTTTTACTTTCACTTGTTTTAACAAGAAGCAAGTTAGATGAACGTGAGCCTCTAAGCAAACTCAGGGTTTCAGCGACACGTTTTTGTAACTTGGTTTGATTGGCCATTGTCCATTGTATCCACTGTTCACCACCCCTCTTTTTACGAATATGGTGAATACAGATAATGCTAAAATCCTGCATTTCGTCATTGGTGCTTTTTGATTCTGCTTGTAACTGAATTGGAATACTGCAAATTGGATTCCTGACAGGTGAGAAGTTAGTGGTCTCGACTCTACGACGAGGTACGTCCATGTGCTCCAGACATGTTTGTTACCATAGGATAGAATCATGGTGATCTTTTACAACCTTGGTCACATTTTCGCTGGTCCTGTTTAGAGGACCTCTTCTCAAATTCCCCGTACAAAATCTCCACTTGTTTGGATTCCTTTTGTATACCTCTCTTGAGTATCGACTGGTGGATTAACCGAGACCAATCAATGGCGGCACGTAACTTTCAGCTTCGCTGACGTATTTAGTCCTCCTGAGTTGCCATGATTACTACGATGGATATGACTGTATTCGTACTGCTTGAGGCAAACCATAGGAGTGTCTATTGTGACATTTTAAAACTCAATATCTATCACCTATGTTTAGTTGCAATCAGTAGGTTCTTACCCAGCTAAGCATAAGATGAATAACCGCACTGCCGATTGCTGAACTACAGTCACGGTCTCTAGTTTTTCTCCATCCATGGACTCTGCTGTCTTTAGGTGTAGACGAATGTCATTGTTACATAAGCGTCCTTGCATGTTTTTGAAGTAATGTGCCCATCTTGACCCATTTAGCACTAGTCAGGCCGGCTTAGTGCTCCTTGAGGATTTCTGCAACGAGAGAGATGCTACAATGTCGCTGTGTAACTCCGCTAGATGTTGACCAGACACACAACACCCCCTCAACATGCAGCGCGTCACAGCCTTGTATCAGACCCAGACAGCAAGAGTCAGCGTTGATCAAGGCCAGACAACGCCCTCGCCATATGCGGCACATCACAGCCTCGTACCAAAGCCAGACCGTGTGCGTCAGCATCGGACTACGTTCAGACAGTCCCCTTTCAATAAATAGCTTGAGACCGTTGTACTTTTTGCACTCGCGCGCACTCGTACTCTCGCACTCGCTTGTTCGGAATATAGCTGTTGTGTTCCCCTCTGTGAGTCTTTTTTCGACAACTAGGCACCGGAGCGGGTCAGCAGCAGATACCCTGGATTAGCGAACCCGCAGATATAACAATATGTATACATACAGGTGTACTTCAATGCTGTGATCCAACGCTCAACGCTCCGAGTGTACCCTCTAAACCAGGGTAAGTATTATACCACAGGGTTCCAAAAGTCCAAAACGAAGTGGACATATGAACAGTATAACGGAAAAACAATTAGTTTCTAATTCTCTTAGGAAACACATTCGAATCATTCATTTTTGGTTCATTTTCTTTCGGCTATAGCATAGATAATCAAGAAAAAGTTCTGAGACGGGCTCATTTCATTAGATATTACTACAAAAATGTACCTACAGCTCAAACCCGCAATAATGGTCCATCACTCTAAGTTGACACAAAGGAGTTTTTCGGGGATGGAAGGAACATGTGTTCAAAATAGTTTTTGCAGTTAACAAGGTATCCGAAATTCAGGTTACTGTCAAATGTCAGAAGCAGTGGTACAGGAACGCGACTGGAAAATGTAGTCATGTTCGTCACCCAGACAATCAAAGGTATAACCACAAACAGAACATTCCCTTCTAAAATTCTACAAAACCGAATTCCGCCCTGATGACACAGAGGGCGCCTTAGTAAAAAAATATATGCCAACCAATCTACCCTTGCATATGTTCACAGTGGAATGAACTGTATAATCAAACAAAAAATCAATACTGCATCCCACTGCCCTTTAATGGCCTAGACTCGATTCAGTGTCACTCCTTATCATTTTTTGTTTACCTTTCAAAAGAAGAAAATCGGTAGCTGTCTCTTCTCAACAAATACAACGAGCACAACAACCGGGAGTTCGAAGTTCAAATTCTTCATCGGCAGGCAGCAAAAGTATCCTGTCTGTCATCTCTCTGTCACTGGCGTTGCTTTTGAACAGACTGGAGAATATACCTGCAAAACGGTGCAAGCGAATTCCGACACAGAGAGCGCCACAGCTGTTGTGCTGGTCCACCGTACGTTGACGTTCTCAATTTATTGTTTAGAATCAAATCGATCTCTAATTGGCTGTTTCTTTTACATTCCATTTGTTGTACCGTCCCGTTGAATTCAGTTCCGAGGAACACCAATTATGGCCCTGTTCGTTAGTTGACCCGATAGACTCAAGTCCATGATCCATGAGCAAAAAGATGCACCTCAGAGAGTCTAAGAGGCACATTTTTGTTCCTGCTATGGGTGTTTACGCCTCGCTTTTCAAGATTTGTAGGATTCTCGTCTATTTTCTAGTCATATATCTTAAAAATCACCCGGAAATTCACTGTCAAACAGTCTGACTTGTTCATTACTCAATAAGATGCAGGTTGTTTTTGAGTAACCAAGGCGTCCAAAGTATGTGCTTACATCATTCTTATCGAGCAGTTTCCAACCCCTATCCCGGGAGAGAGAGACCGGGTAGAGACCCCGGTTTCGAATTTCATTCTCATGAAAACTCATTGTCAGTTCACACAGATGACCATGCTCATCCGTGACACCAAACGAGAGGAAAGCTCTCACAACTGATTCATCAGATAAGCTCAGGTAGGAACACCGACTTTGTTCAAACTGTTGGGTTGATCACGCACATTGCTGAAGCTTGATGTCTTCTACTGTTTAGACCGATTATTCTGATGCATTCTGACGCACGTCACATGACTAGTGTTCAGATTCAGGGTTTTATGAATCAGCCTATCCAATGTATCGATTGTGTTGAATTAGCCGGTAGAAGTACTCCTGCCTAACCGTGTTAGTTTACGGGAAGTTTATCAAAGTTCTGAGGAACAAAAATAAAGTATTAGGGAATATGAACATTCGTCAGCTAATACTAAGCGGATTCAAATCGGAAAACACTATTTTGGTTCCAAATAAGAGACTCAACTGACTAAACTTTTGAGATATTCTTCAAGAGAGGGGGCTGAACAAGGGTAGCTTCTTGTTTCATTTGGTATGATATTCGAGATTTCACGGTATATTTTCTTGAAGATGGGACACGCTGCTCACAAGTTTGCTAAAAACTCTTCGGCAACCCATGACCATTTGGTCTTTCTTGGTGTTCATCAAGTAGGAGCACTGCCCAAATTTCTAGATGAATACCATACTGCGCACCTACGTTTATCCAGCTAATGCCTTGTTGCATACTCACTCAATTTTCAGTAGATTTTCACCTTCGGACAACGCATCAGAACAAAGATGACCTCCCTAAAATGCGCATTATGCCACAATAATAACCACCGTTTCGGAATTTTTAACGAAAGCCTAGGTCTTAGTTGTTTCAGAGGGACTTATCTGAGCTGTAAACACAGTTTACGGTTTCTCAGTCGATTCAAACCGGACTCGAGCAAAATATAACAACAGGTTGAGTTCATCAGTGATTTTTAAGCTCACCCTAAATCCCCTTTTATAATAGATACCAGGCATTTCGCCATAAGAACCTGGTGAGGTTATTTTATGAAACAACTCGTTTTGCTCTGCACAAATTCATCAGAAAATGTACCCATGTGGAATCTATGCTTAGGCCAGGGACCCACATATATGGCTCAAGTGTTATGGGCATCCATGGCATGTATCATGTTACAAACTTGCATGCAGAGGTCAACTGGTTTTGAAATACCAAAAAATTCTCCAGAGAATTTCTCCGGTGGGAATATTTTGCCGCTCCGTAGTACTCTTGCGGAACGAATCGAATCGACGAATTCCGGCCCATTCTATGAAGCATTTACTACATCCCTTGTCTTCTTGATCCTCTGTATTAGATGTACTCTGTGCAAGTCTTGGTAATGACTTACCAAGTGGTATTCGGTACAGGATCAGTGGCCGTCGCCTGTAAGTTACGTTGTAGAATACCTGGTTCCGTCGGGTTTGCTGCAGATGACTAGGCGTTGGCAAAACGATATGTAGGAAGAGGCTGTACGTGCTGCCCCCAAATTAGGTTTTACCCAGTTAAACCAACCTGCATCGTAGAGTGACAAGGAAAAAGGATCTGTGTGGTTGGTCCTTTTCTGATAGTTCTATATCAGGACAGCCAAGTCGTAAAGATAGCTTGGTTGACGAAATCCAAGGCATCCAAACTCAATATTCCGAACTCAATCAGAGGACCATATGAGGAGGAAAGGATAAGTGCAAGCCTTTCCATTTCATTCTGATCGGCTGCGCAAAACACAAAAACAAACAAACACAAAAACAAAAACAAACGCTGAGAGGCTAGGATACGTTTGAACATTCTAAATGAGTCACTTGATGTAAGCCGTCGTGTTGGTTTTCACAGTACACAAATCCCCATGAAAAAATGTATCGCGATCGTTTCTCCGTATCCCGTGGCGAGGACCAGTCAGAGCCAAATACGAGCCCGGTGATCTATCTTCATCGTTGTATACTAGTCTGATTATCCTGGCCAACTTGGGAGAATAACTGTTCGACTGAATATTATGTGAATACAAAGATTTTATAAGAGGCTCTTAGAATGACAGATGCTTCTGGCTCATTAGCGCACCACCGCATAATCCGTTCCCTTTCCTTCAGAGAAAAATAGTCGAATTCATGTTGTTTGCCCACTACTTCTCCCTACCGGTTGTGGAACGAACAAATTTACTCCTATCAGCTTTCAATGAAAAGATTCCCGCGAACAGCACCAATAGATTGGTTCCAAAAACGCCCTACGCAATGCAGTCAACGACCTTCGAACATTATAGTTTCCAATTCATGAACATTTTACATCGCGTGGAATCAAAACAGAAGGATATTTCCTTTTTTGTGATAAGTAACTAACTGCAGCACCCACCCGCAGCGTGTTCAAGTAGGAAATGAGAATTATAAAGATACGGCACTAGGCCCATGAGACGCACCTCGAGAGGGGCGTAATCGGTTTTGGAGCGGTCGAAGTTCTAACCGACCTTATAAGTAGTTAAATTTGAAAGCTGGCAACATAGATTCTCCAAAGGAGTTTGGCATATACGTCTGTGAAAAAGGATATTAGGTAACTTGCACTCTTTGAAATCTTCGCGCTCAAAAACGTGGAACTTTTCACTGCACGTGAACTCACTTGCACAAGTTATGGACCAATTTATTTCTTTCCTCAGGTTCACACTCACTTGCACAAGTTATGGACCAATTTAATTCTTTCCTCAACGTCTCACCTCTGACACATGCTCAGGTTCATATTCACATCAGTCTCGTCTGAACAGTTGTCCCCCTGCCTTGGCGCAATCCTTCTGGTGAATCCACACAAAAGGGAGGGAGTACTGGACTCGAGTTTCGCTCTTATTAGAGCTCCTCAGCAGTGCATATCTAATGGCCGTGGCGGAGTTTGAACTCCGGACACCTGACATGCGATGCGAACGTGTTACCACTACTCCACGCATCTGAATTCTCACGTCTGAACCTGTTCACGCTTGATCGATGTGAGCATATATTCAGGTTTTCAGATCAAGCAGAGGTGTTAGTTACATATACCAAAAGGAAGTGACACAGGAGGTTTGGACTTATATTCCTCCATGAAAATCACTTCATTTCTAGTTCGGAGTTCAGAAAACCAGTGAAACTTTATCACTAGGGTATCGGAGGCAACACAGGTATTTTATACTGACGCAGGTAAACCTAGGAAATTTTTTCTGTGGTGTTTTGTAGGCATTACCTTAGTTCACCCTGGAAATCAGAAAAACCGACATGACTGGTTGTTGAAAATACTGTTTGCTATGGAATACCGAGCTAAACTAGAACAAATCATAGTGCATCGTTTTTTGGATGACGTCATTCATGTTACATTGACGGTATAGCCCAACCAACTTGATTTTTTTCCGGCGACTTTGTGTTAGCTTTCACCTTTCTTGAAACTAGGACCAGTACAGGATCTGCACCTCAGGGTATTCAATCAAACAACTCTGACTGTGGACCAGGAGGCAAAGATTGAGTGCATTTCAACTGGGGGAAACCCAAGTCCAAAACTCCGCCTAAGCCTTGGAGGTTCGCCTGTATCGGCTCTGGAATTCGTCCAAAAGCCAAACTATCAAGGTAAGTCGGCTCCCGAGATTTGATGCCCCCTCAAATCAATCTGAAAACTGGGTACCTTGCAGAAATTTCCCGACCTGTAGAGACCCGTAAGGACCAAAAATATTTTTGGAAATACTCAAGCTGAGAGCTACTGGAATCAAAGGAGACTAATATGTGGATTCTTCTTCCGTATATGCGAAAATCCAGCAGAAGCTCGCCATTGAAGAAGGAATTTTGTGTGGAGCACAACTTTCCCCTTCGCGCTGCTCGCTAAGCTACTGAACCGCGGAGTTTTTCAATTTCACAGAAAGAAAATTCCGAAGTCATATTTCCTCGATCACATGGTTTTACGGGATGTACAGGGTAAGATCCGATTCACGACAAACGTATGCGGGCATCACGTCGAAGTAAAACGGCATTGGTTGGATATCCCTAACGTCCTTTGTGGGCCAGAATAGTCAAAAGCTTATCATATAACAACAAACAAAATTTAGCTAGACAGCCCGACCAAGAATTGACAGGCCGAGCGGAACCGGTTACGTGCCATGTTCAGTAGGGTTACAAATAACGTGCAAGAAGAATGATGACGGGCACGAGCATGATGAGGAGGGCACGGAAACCTCACAGATCTCAGTTTGACGGCAAAGGCCTTCGTTTTGCTTTGCCGTCCAATGGAGCATTTCATGAGTATGGTTCGCAACCAACAGTTTGGAATTAGAAATAATGATTTCTTCTGAAGGCGCTGGTTTGGTGTGTGTAGTACATATTGCAAAGGCTTTCACCTGATCAGCGTCACATGCAGCTCTACCGATTCTGATTATGGACAGAGTACTCGCTTACGCACCATTTTACTGTGAGCAAGCTGCGACGATCTAACTTCTGCTATACGGCGAAGTCACCGATGATCACATGTTCGAATTCATCTTAGATCCCATGATCGGATGGACTAATTTTCACAACCTAGATTGAAACTTTGCCCATAGTTGACCTGCCTACACTTTAATTCAGCTTCAATAAAGTAGGTTTCTGGCGTTATGGATGAGGAAAATCCTCAAAGGTTGCTCGCGCCTTGTGAATGGGTGCTTCGTCTCGAATCACGGTAAAGTCACGCAGCTAACCGGATTAGGAAACCGGCCTGAGAGTTCAGAGGGACAAAGAGGAACTCAAAATCCTGAAGCAATACTTCACACTCTGTGGATGCACATCAAATGAAATTATATCTTGAACTCCGTCTAAAGTGGTAAGTGCTCTTCAAATCACATCAAACTCTCGCAAATTCTAACTTTACCGACCTCTCTCCATGAGCATTGATGCATTAAAATTCACAATTGAGGATAATATTGATGANCTTTAGGTGCCTAGTGTTAGTATAAAAAGTAACTTATCTACAGAGTCAAAGTCCTTTCAAAGTCAAGGGAAATCGCAACCGTTGACTGGCGGTATGTATGAGGCCGCCCAACCAGTCAGCGTTGTGTGAAGATGCAATCCTATTGGATTGAGGATAATATTGATGAGGGAGTTGAACGGAAGCTGAACCTCAATAGTTGCATGGAAACTGCTGAACACTTCGTTGTTAACTCCTACACCAGCAGGTGGGAATAGAGTGCATGGATTGTACTTACAGACTTTAGGCGCCTAGTGTAAGTATAAACATTAACTTATCTACAGAGTTAAAGGCCTTTTGAAGTCGAGGGAAATCGCGACCGTTGACTGACGGTATGTATGAGGCCGCCCAACCATTCAGCGTTGTGTGAAGACGCAACCCTATAGCGGAGAATACCCACTTGCTACTCTCCGATTTTCGTCCAATGTGTAGGGTTTAGGCGTTAATACAAAACTGAAGCCAAATGCAGCCTTACAGGGGTGCTAAAATGATGACTCTATGGTTGAAACAGTTACTTAGTGCAACCTCCTGAACATAGATATGCGTTCCCAGGTCTCCAGAACGATTTCTTGTTTCCAAATAAGTTCAGAAAATCTGTTCAAACTAGAATATGAAGGCCTGTCCCAGTAGACTTTTATCTATCGCGGAAGCTCGATGAGGTTTCAAGGCTCAAAGGCATAGTAGTACTTCACCCGCTCAGGAAGGATCTAAACTCACGGCTCGAGTTGAGTGGGTCGAATGAAAGAAATAGGCATGGAAACCGATGCCCAAATATATTGCCGCTGAGAACATTCTGACAAGCGGTCTAGAATCTGGATTTATTTTATGTTAGTTTGTCAATACCACCCTTGACCGGCTCACTAAATGCGCCGTTAATAATCCTGCCTTGAGGAGCGGCTGAAACAGCTTCCAAACACTTCGCTGCACTAAACTCCCCCATTCTTTGATCTTACTAACACGTCTCTCTACCCACACACACGTTAAGGCCGGTTGCAACGGACCATCCAGTCAAACTATGCTGCGATCCCTAGGTGATACAACGTCAGGAACTGACAGTGGTCTTCTCTGGGGCCTATGGTTAGTGTGCGTGTCTACTCGGAAACAACGTATGTCAAGTTTCCAGCCTGTTACCTTCTCTCAGTTACGACCGAGGTCCTCTACAGTAACTGCTTACAGGTTACAGGTTGGCTTTGGAATGTTCACTTAATTTGTGGCTCAGAAAGCCCTCTCGATTGGTGAATTGGTTTCATAAGCCTACCGGAGAATTTCGTTCAAAATTACAGAGGACGAAAGCATGGTTCGAATCAATATATCTTCCAAAACGATTGGCAGTCGAGTGCCACTCTGTGTGATATTGACTCAAGGAGTGAAAGCTGCTATGTGATTCATCACCGATGCTTCATGTATCACAGGCTCGCAAGTAAATCATAAACGGCAGCTGTTTGGTAACACAGTGAGTGTATGGGTCAAAACTTAGAATCTTATTTAGCTTCCTTATATGTATTGCGCGTGTCGAAATACAGTTAACCGAAGAAGTTAGTATCATGATCGTTGGCTTGTTCGCTGAGCTCATTTTAATCGTTTCATCACCAATCGAGGTGACATCGTGCGTGCGTTATTGGAGAGCGTAGTGGTGCGCAGCGGTGGGATAGTGGTTGTGCGTCAGCGAATTATTCAGGAGATTGTGAACCAACAGGAGGGCAGTGTACCCAGGGGAGGTGTATGGAGGGGACAGTTTGTTGCAATCCATCAAGCATTTGTGAGTGTTTGTAACCATTGACACCCTTTGATGGAAAAGTCGGAATTCACTATTTTTAGGAGATTTATGAGGTTGATGACATTTGTGCAATCTGCATTTATCGAGGTGAGAGTAGATGTAATCACCTGAGAAAGAGTGACTTCCCCCTATCCAATATTTTTGCGAATTTAAAGCCTATTAAAAACTGTGAAACTTCAATGTTAACCTAGTTTTTCCAAGTATCGGTGATAAGACCGGTGATCCCGGGTGATAGTTGCGCTGTGCACACCATTACCTGTATTCGATTAGTGAGTGTACTGCTGCCAAATACAGACTTTTACAGCAACCAGTGTGTTCGTATACATTTGAGAATTTTAGGACTATGTAACACAAAGCACCTTGGCAAAATATATATCTCTGTTTATAAAAAAGGTAGGTTTCTGCTGGTTTCAATCAGTAGATTGAATGCCAGAGTTAGTTATGAAATTGGTCGCACTTGCATGACTAAGGAGGGAGTAGATGTGCGAAGCATTTCAAATTGTGCATTCAGTGACTTTACCCCTATTGTGTAATACGATATCCCTACAATTTCAGGAGTTACCGTGTCCAACCTGACGGCAAAAGTTCGTCTTCAAAACAAACATCACTGGAACGTGCTTGCGTGTCACGTCGATATGGGAAGCTATCGAAGCGTGAACCAGACATTCACAATCTTACACTTAATCGGATATCGTGAGTCCCACTTTTTGGAGTAGGAAAAATTTTATCGGTGCACCATGTTGATTTCTTTTCAAGAGCGAGAAGCATTGCTCAGTGCATATACAAATATCAGGTATGCATGGAAGTAATAACTGTTATTTTGTGCATTTTTTAATCCTGGGCACTGGCAAACTGGTTGGCTCTAATGTTTGTTTTCGTTCATGCTAATATCGGTCACAACTACACTCTCAGTCACAAAACGTGAACAATACTCGCATCGGAGAGTTTTTCGCTGGTACCCTGCAGTTGCATTGCTTTTCCCCGCTGTTTTTGTGCTGTCCGTTGGCTAAACAACAGCTTCAAGTGTCAACGAAGATTTCGACCTGAAATTAGAGCCAGTCTATGCCACAAAGGCAAGAAGCATTGTAAAGAAGCATTGTACAAGAAGCATTGTACAGCTATTTTCCATTCTTTTGAGCGCCATCATCAGACAGCATCTGAAGATACTCCAGAAATCCTCAGAGCCGCTGCCCTCCGGCCAGTAGTTTCAACACTTAACTTTTTGACCGCGAGTGCCTGGTCACGTGTTTTATGGCTCCTCTAGTTACGACTTCTCAGATGATACTTTCGCACTGTGCATGTTATCCTTATTGCTGACCAGCCGCCCGTGACCGAACAGTGAAGTGTTCAAACTACTAATCAGGTCGCGGGTTCGAGGTTCTCTGGAGTTTGGTAGGGGAAGGGACTGCTGATGGTGTACAGTAAGGATGAAGCAGCTGTAAAATGCTCCTGGGTTTTTCAGCATAGATTGGCTGCAATTACAGAATCGTGATATAAGATAGCTTGAATAAAGTGTAACGTAGTAGGTTATGAACACTGGTTTCTCAGTAATAAAGGAGGGACAATATAGCTGGTGATACAGTGGCAAGTTATATCAAGGTTTTCAAAACCGATATACCGTACGAAAGACCTATAGAGATTTTAAAATGATTTCACAGGCCGATCAAAGGCGGCTAATATCGATCGGTATTCGAATTAGGGAGGCATATTCGTGTGGTCTGCTCCAAGGTGTTACTACTATCGAGAGACTAAGTCTGCTCACTTGCTGGAAGTGGTTTCTATCAGACTAAACAAAGTGGGGTAAGTGGTCTTCTGTTAATTACATAGCTAAGGCAAAAAAATGACACCTACTCACAAACCTCATCATCGTTGTCAGTCCGTACAACAGACATGAAGATTTTCAAAAAGAAACCACCAGTTTATTTTAGAGACCTTTTATCTAGCTTGACTTGTGGCGTTTCTCACACTTCTCCGGTTTCAGTTTATAGTTGTCTCTATTGATCACCTGAATAATCTGCAACTCTTGAACGTATGTAAAATAACGAATCTACTCTATCGTTTCAGGTTCACTGGAAAACTAAATTCAGAGAAAATATGAAAGAAAGCATCCGTCAGTATCAATCAGAGGCTAACCTCTTATTCCCGTTTCTAGCGTATTCAATTTTTCTTGATCGCTGCTCTACGTATACATGCTTTTTGGCCAATAACTAGCGACTATTCAAAACCGTGAAACTTTCTCCTGCGGATTTCAATAAATGCTTACCTGAAAAACGGTACACTGAGAAATTCATGCTTTTTCACAGAAACGCAATTCCCCTTTTGAACGATTCGTATTCAGAATTTTAGGTGTGTTCTCACAAAGGATACAAAAATACAGTATTTTAAATTCACGATAAAATGTCACTTCTTTAGTCGGCTTCAGGATGTTTTCTGGGTCATCATTCAAGCTTTTGTATAAAACAACACACCACCTACGCGCCAAAGCATTCAACTGTTCAAACGGACCTATTCCAACGGTATAATACAACGTATGCAGTGAACTAGTGGCGACATGCTTGCTTCGCTCTGTAAATGAACGTGGTTCACATAAAGCTACGATCAGGGACACACATAGTCCGTGACTCCTAATAGGAGAAACTCATGGACCCAATACTTCGACTTTTGTGTTGTGAGCAAGCACATCAAGTGGAGAGAAGAACTGTTTGAACCAGATTGCTGCGAACAGGGTTCTTTGCTGCTGAGATGCAAGACCAAATCATTAACTAAAGCCGCAGACTAAAACAACACGAAGCATAAAAAGCACGTATCGCGTGAGATTACAGGCTACATTGTGAGTGTTTGTCGATCATTCAGGAGTCAATGACCCAGGTGTACATAACTAGGAAATACTGTGTCGATTCTGCAATTAGTTATCACAGTGTTCATTACTTGAGGGATTGAAGGTCTGGTTCCACAACCACTGCGTGTAAACGGTGAAAAAAAGTGTCGAAAGCCATTCTTTTTTGTGGAGATCGGATCCGAAAGTAATTGTGTCGCGTGAGGCTAAACTCCTCCCACTATTAAATCGTTATGGACCCTGGTATCACGACTATCCAACCAGTGTATAACACAACCAGCATCACTCTGAATATATCATGAACGAAATTGAATTAGAACCAGTAATCAGGCATCCTCAGAAGACATACGTGATGAAAGCTGACTATAGACCCGTGCGCACTCGAGTTACGCCTTTGGGGTATCAGCAAACTGACTCAGTGCCCCGCTTCACTAAAGTAGCCCCGAAAACATACTAATACAGAAAACTACTAATGTTGGCCATCCAAATATTGATTTCTCAGCAGCTATCTCAGTGTTAGAATACGGTCTATACGAAGCAGAAAACAGTCCGCGTGTAACGACCAAGCGCCAGCGGTGTCGTTTCCATTGATGAGTTCCGAAGTTAGTTCAGGAAATCCTGATTTCTTGAGGGAGCCAGTGATAGTATCACGAGGCCTTTAGCACCAGGCTGGATACATCACAGTCGTAATGTAACAGCTGACCAAGCAACCCTAACGCTATGTACAATGACCTACTGGTCGTTGAATGTCTGCAATCAAAAACTGGCCGGTTTCAAGCGTCATAGGTGTGAACGGGCCATTCGACTGCAGCTTGTCAGCTGCTTCTCCAATGTTCTGCACAGCGGACGCATACAGAGTGGATATTCAGGAGTTTAGTAAACACTGCTCGGTAACAGAGTTGGTTCAATTGATTAAAACAATCAGCCTAAAACATTGAACTTATGTGAGAATTTCAATCTGAAATACCTGAATTATAATGGTTCGGAAAGAGGATTATAATGTTCATTAGTAAAATGAACGCAAACAAGTAGCTGAAAACCGTAACACAGTATAAAAGCTGGGACTAAATAAGATATTCTGTTTTCGAAAGCTAGACTAGTGTTAATCACGAGCACCGATGTATCACTACGACTTCCCCAGTGATTAGATCGTTATCTGGCGTGTGAGGGAATCTGAAAGCAACCACTAGATTCATGACATAGCCAGTTTATAGCAGATCTTGTACACTGAAGTGCTGATTTCTGGGATGTTTTGAGTCCCAAGGAGACCCGATGTTCTGCCGGTGTATTCGGCAGGATAGATGAGTAAGTTGAAGAAAGTAATGCAGTTGTTAACACTTCGCACCCCATCCAGAGATGTCACAACATCGTACGCAAACAAATGCTGCCAATTTAGTGACTCTCCTGAGGAAACAGTAAGAAAGCAGTGGACGCTCGTCAAAAGTTCGTCGAAGAAATTGGTAAGGATTCAGACGTAAAATGACCTGAATAAACTACTGGAAAACGAAACAGTTTCCTGGGATTTTTTGGTTGATTTTGTCGAAAACAGTTTTGTTCTCGTGCCTCCCCAACAGCTCCTTCAAATGCCCGCTTCCCAATGCGCTTATCATATTCTTACCCTAACAGACTACGTTCTATCCAATTTGACTGGCATTATTTTGACAGAAGTAACTTGTTGAATGGTATTTTGGCGTACATTTTTTGGTCCTCTTGGAGAAAAAAAGATTTTTCCTGCAACGCTACACTGATCTGTTTGATTCTAAGTCCTACGATTGTCTGAATTGGTTGTAAGAAAGCCGTTTGGAAAATAACTTTTGCAAGAAAGAAACACCGTTAAAAATAAAATAAAAAACAAGCGCAGGTCAATTGCTGGATTTCTATCACAGCAGCAGTTTTAGAATGTGGTCATGTGTAAAAGCTCTTTTGCAAACCGAAAAGCTGTCACTACAACATTGTCACATGTAGTAAATATAGCGATCATCAATTTTGTGGATTACTTTCGACTAATTTTGTAACCAAAATATGGTTGAGAAATTCGTAAAAATGACCCTGTCTTTTTCTGAAGTGAGTGCAAAGTACTTCACCACATATTTTCGGGGATACACATACAGCCTGTTAACAATAACTTAAACAAAATAACCGGGGAATTTGTGACGGGATTTTTTATACCCTCAGACGCAAATTTGTTTTCTTTTCTACTTTTTTCATTGCCCAAGGTTAGCTTTGCGATGGAGCTGTGGAAGATATGCTTGACGTATCGTAAAAAGCTGTTTCGTGAGATGCGCGATGTCGATGATTCCCAATAAAGTTGAAGCAGCTCTTCTGCACGTCCCAGGGTTTCGGCATAGACTGTCTTCACTTATAGGACGAGATCTCCATTGAAAATTCCAAAATCTCGCCACACTACTAACAATTTGCTTATTGTCAGATTTACAGTCAGATTGGGTAGAGGTGGCGTCACCTAGTTGCATTGATTTTATTTTGTTTAAAAATGTGATTTGCTAGTTTGAGTGATTTGTAACATTTGAGGGATGTCATTTGGATGAGTGTCCGCCCAAGTATCCGGTCCAAGTTGAGCGGAGTAGGTTTACTTTTTTTCTGGCGTTAGACTCGTCGCGCGAATGGTTTGAATCTACTTCCCCGTGTCGTTCGCAAATTCCACCTCTTGCACATCCTGGCTTCTCCAGTTTTGGTGCCCACCCCCACACAACTTTGGCATGGCGTACACCCGAGCGCCGTTGTTGTGTTGCCCCTCGGCCAAGCGACAGGCCGGAAGTATCGTGAGCAAGCAGTGTCGTCCCGGGATTAGACAGACGATACTTTTTCGCATGCAGAGATGGGATATTTATGCTCATG